ATCTTCCCACCTTGGCCTCCTGAAGTGCTGGGATTACAGGCATGGGCCACTGTTCCCAGCCAAAACTACCTTTTGATCAAATGGAGACTTAAGAAGTCTACAATGATGGCAACCAAAAGAAAATCTGTAGATTAGAAGGGAGAGAAACCCTATTTGATATGGTGGGCAGGGAGTGGACAGAAAGAGAAAAGAAAGTTTTAATAATTTTACAATGACTAAAATGGTATGCAGTTCTTTCCTTTGCCAAATATAAAAACCTGGGGCCAGGTGCGGTGGCTCATTCCTGTAATCCCAGCACTTTGGGAGGCTGAGGTGGGCAGATCACGAGGTCAGGAGATCGAGACCATCTTGGCCAACATGGTGAAACTCTGTCTCTACTAAAAATATGAAAATTAGCTGGGCGTGGTAGCACGTGCCTATAATCCCAGCTACTCTGGAGGCTGAGGCAGGAGAATCGCTTGAGTCCGGGAGGCAGAGGCTGCAGTGAGCCGAGATCGTGCCACTGAAATCCAGTCTGGGCCACAGAGCAGGACGCTGCCTCAGAAATAAAAAAGAAAATAAATAAATAATAAAAAACTTAAAAAAATAAACTTGGTATCAAACAAAGAGAAAGGCTGAAGAACTAGGTTAGGAGTCACTGTCCACCAGATGAGGGAGCGCCCACTCAGCTGTCTCCCACTTGCTAAGACACAAGCTTTATGACGGTGGGGGGTTTCTGATGCTGGATCATTTTTCCCACCAATGTAGCCTCAGCACTGCACTGGTGGGAAAGAAGCCAGCCTCTGTGGCCTGAAGGCTGCCTCTCTGCCACCTCCCCTGCTGGACTCATCCTGTGGGCAGGGCTTGTTTGGTGGACTCACTGCTGAATCAGCAGAGCCTGCCGCACAGTAGGCACTCAACAAGGCTGCCGAAGAAGAAACAGGTAAAAACTCTTACACAGGGATCTCATCACACCAGCTCACGTGCTTATTAAAAATATGTTCCAGCGGCCGGGAGCGGTGGCTCATTCCTGTAATCCCAGCACTTTGGGAGGCCGAGGCAGGCGGATCACAAGGTCAGGAGATCGAGACCATCCTGGCTAACATGGTGAAACCCCGTCTCTACTAAAAATACAAAAAATTAGCCAGGCGTGGCGGCGGGCGCCTGTGGTCCCAGCTACTCAGGAGGCTGAGGCAGGAGTATTGCTTGAACCTGGGAGGCAGAGATTGTAGTGAGCGGAGATTGCGCCACTGCACTCCAGCCTGGCGACTGAGTGAGACTCCATCTCCAACAAAAAATATGTTTGTGCTTTGATTTCAACTTTCGAAGGCATGAGAAGACCAAGGGTGAGTCCAGATTCTCTGCCAGAAGCATGGAAAGACCAAGTCGACACTGGCAAGCGTGAAAACCATGACCAACCCCCCCACTGGGCGAGGGTGAGTGGACGCTGTCCTGCACTAGTCCACTCTGCTCGGCAGCTGGTCAGCAGCTGTGGCTAATCTAAGTGACAGGTGTCTCGGGAGCACCTACAGGTTAAAACAGGCCCAGGCCATGACATTTTATTTTTTATTTATTTTTCTACTTTTTGTGAGACGGAGTCTCGCTCTATCGCCCAGGTTGGAGTGCAGGGGCGCGATTTCAGCTCACTGCAAGCTCCGCTTCCCGGGTTCACACCATTCTCCTGCCTCAGCCTCCTGAGTAGCTGGGACTACAGGCGCCCACTACCATGCCTGGCTAATTTTTTTGTATTTTTTAGTAGAGACAGGGTTTCACCGTGTTAGACAGGATGGTCACGATCTCCTGACCTAGTGATCCGCCCACCTTGGCCTCCTAAAGTGCTGGGATTACAGGTGTGAGCCACCGCGCCCAGCTGGCTATGACACTTTAAAATGGTGGTTTACAGAACAATGGCATTTCAGATTAGGGAATGACCTGCAATGGCTCTCTTGCCCCATCAATCCAGATTTTAAGGCCTCTACTGAAGTTGATCAAATCAGGCCAGGCATGGTGGCTCACACCTGTAATCCTAGCACTTTGGGAGGCTGAGGCAGGCGGATTGCTTGAGGTTAGGAGTTTGAGACCAGCCTGGCCAACATGGTGAAACCCTGTCTCTACTAAAAATACAAAAATTAGCCGGGCCTGGTGGTGGGTGCCTGTAATCCCAGCTACTTAGGAGACTGAGGCAGGAGAATCACTGGAACCTGGGAGGCAGAGGTTGCAGCGAGCCGAGATCGCACCACTGCACTCCAGCCTGGGTGGCAGAGTGAGGCTCCGTCTCAAAAAAAAAGAAGAAAGAAAAGAAAAGAAATTGGTGAAATCAGATGTTACCTTTTTTTTTTTTTTTTTTAATTGAGACGGAGTTTCACTCTTGTTGCCCAGGCTGGAGTGCAGTGTCATGATCTTGTTCAATGCAACCTCCACTTTCTGGCTTCAAGTGATTCTCCTGGCTCAGCCTCCAGAGTAACTGGGATTACAGGCATGTGCCACCATGCCTGGCTAATTTTTGTATTTTTTTAGTAGAGACAGGGTTTCACCACATTGGCCAGGCTGGTCTCGAACTCCTAACCTCAGGTGATCCGGCCACCTTAGCCTCCCAAATTGCTGGGATTACAGGCATGAGCCACTGCACCCGGCCCAGATGTTACTATTACTAATAATAATCATTAGCCTCTCAGCAGGAAACACAAATGATCTGATGCAAATCACAGCTGCTGCCCATCAAAGACCAGAAAAAGCCATGTTATCTGCACTCCTTCCTTCCAGACAGGAGTTCTGTGAAATCCAGACACTGCACATTTCCCCTAATTTAAACCAGGGGTTCCTGAACATTAGCGAGTGTTCATCACCTCAACCGCCTGTAGAAATGCAGATCCCCAGCCCC